GGCTTGATTGTGGATTAATAGTTGGTGTAGTGTAACACCCGCCTAGCTCGAGTGTGTCAGCATTTTTTATTATATTTAAAGCAATACTTACATTACTATTTAATGGATCTAAGAAAGCATTGCTGTCGTTAGAGACTTCAATACAGACTCCGACGGTGATAGTAACATTAACTACGGGCTACTTTTGGGATCACTTAACTTGCGTAATCTTGTCATAGAGGCTACTCGCATTACTGGCACATCTAGTACGTCAAATTACCATGTTCTTTGTAACATTTAGACCGGTGTGTGTGCCAGTGTTTATACTGAACCAGTAACCGACCATTTGTTCGTATTTGTTGTTGTGCTAAAACAGCTGCCTAGTCATGTCAAATCAACTTGACAAATACTACTCACTAAACTAAGTTATGACCACCTTTGTAAACAATTACAACAAACAAATGCTACCACAACTTATGATCCAAATATTCATACGGAATGTTTTAACTTTGTTGCTGTCCTGAAAAATGTGATAACGGAAAGTAGCGTAAAACATACCTTAAACAAATACAACGAACCAGTCTGCCCTTGGATGACTAGCCACATACTAAATGTTCTAAAGGAAAAAGAGCTGGTACTAGAAATGGAAACGAAACAAAACTAATGATTATTATCTAGGCCAGTTTCGTCAGTTAAGAAATAAATAAGTCTCTTTGATGAGAAAAAGAAAAAAGAATACTCTTCTGCGCTTATTAAACTTGCGGATGGTGATACTAAAACATCTGGGACGTAGTTAATAAGGCAATACATCATGATTCAAAGAGTTGTGTATCTCGTGACATAGTTGAGCAGGATACGGTGAACGTTATAATGACTATTTTACAAATATAGGGCCTATCTTGGCGGCTCAAATGCCACACGTATCCCACTTCCCAGATTCACTGAAACCTTTTACTAATAGTTTTGAAATTGACAGCATAGAAATGTATGAAATTATATTAACAGTTGGAAACATTCGCGAAAATAAAGCGACTGGACTCGACACTATTCCCGTAAAAGTATTTAAAGACAATATAGATATTATAGATGCTCATCTCTTACATCTGTTCAATCATTCTTTAGAGAGCGGAACTTATCCCAATGAGCTTAATATAGTCAAAGTCATGCCCACTTTCAAGGATGGGGATTCATCCGACCCATCCAGTTGTAGAGCAATCTCGATTTTAAGTGCAATTAATACTATCTTTGAGAAAATACTTTGTAATCGCTTTAAGGAATTTATAAATAAATACGACATTCTTTGTCCTACCTAACACGGATTTAGGCCAAATAGATCTACTTCCACCGCAGTCCTAGCTATGACTCAACTTCTTAACAAGTCGCTCAACGACCACAAGATTGCTATAGTTTTCTATCTAGATATAAAAAAGGCATTCGATACAGTAAGTCATACTATTTTATAAAATAAGCTTAATAATTATGGATTTAGGGGTAAAATAATTCAACTACTCTGTAGCTATCTCTCGGATCGAAGACAATCCGTAATAATCAAAGGCTTCGTTTCCTCCTCATAAACTGTGCAAACTGGTGTTCCGCCGGGTTCAGTCCTCGGACGTATTTGACTATCTTTCTACGTAAATGATTTTTCGTCTATCCTGAAGTACTCGGACTCATTAATGTTCGCTGATTACACGGCTTTATTTTTTATAGTTGATAGTGTCGATGAAGTACAGTCAAAAGTAACTGAAGAATATATTAGGGTGCTAAATTGGTTCACAAGTAATCAACTCACCCTTAACCTACTAAAACCAAGTATTCAGTGTTGCATTTTGGGTATTATTGTGGATTCCGACATGCACTGGAAACGTCAAGTTAATAATATTTGTTTAAATTCTGCTTATGGGTGTTTTACCTTACCAAAGGAGCGCGAATGTTTTGACTTAAGTATTCTACGCATTATTTGCTTCGCATTCTTACACTGTCAGCTAACACATTGCTTAGAGTCATGGGGAAATACATATCCTACGTACCTATAGTCAATTAGTTGTCTACGGAAACTTTCGCTAAGAGCAATCACATTTTCTAGTAAAACTGACGCAAACCGACACTTATTTCAATCATTACACGTGCTTGCCATAAGCTTAGAATATAAATTAAAAATATCTCAAGTAATACATAACATTATACGAACTAATGAACCACTGCCTTTATCTGTGTTTAAATGCCCATCAAGAAATACGAGGGCGTGCTGTTCATAGTCAATTTAATTTACCACTATGTAGGAATGTTTATGATCGAAGACTTGTTGAATTCAACGGTTCATTAATTTGGAATTATATACCCACGGATACTAAGCAGAAATCTAACGTTTTGCCTTTATTAAAAAGTTGTTTTATAACATTCAGGGTTAATGACCCAGCCATGTCATCTCGTACGCAAGATATTTTACGTAGCATTTGCTTCGTGCTGCATGGCGATACGTAGTTTGTGATTGGACCCGATACTAGCCGTAGTGGCTATGGGTCCAAACAATTGTTGTGTAAATGAATAAGTGATTTAAAAAAAAAATCTGAAATCTGAATCTGAAATGTGAAATGCTCTGTGCGCAGATGAGCTATACGGCCTTGGGGACATAATATAGGAGGATAAGTATGACGATGGGTCGAATAATTAACTTAAATGTTTAAGTTAGTTTTTGTTTAACTCAAATAGATATATAGTTTCAACTGGAACCTTGCTGAGCGTCATCGAATATCACAAAGTCACTTTAGAAAAGTTATAAGCGCGTGTAAAGCACGGTGGTGCGCTAAGTTGGTGTGACGGGCGCAAGGCTAGTGGCGGGAAAACCCGGATGACGAGAGACGAAACATCCGCCAGGGCACGTACTCGCACCCCCATCTTGTGCCGTGTTGCACGAGTGACTACTTAAGCGTACCCGCTCTTCCCACGTGTTCCGAGCGTCTCGTAAATTTACCGAAATATTGGTTCTCGATGGCGCTGTGTATCTTTACCTATTAACACGTTATTTACAAATCTTAATTAATTAAGTTACTTGTAACGATTAACTCGAGATATTAGAGAGTTTTAGAATAGCGCATGCTAAAGCTTTGCGAACGTAAAAAACAGCGTCGTCGCCAGTGCGCATGCGCCGAACGCTAACCACATTTCGCGCTTTGCGCGTGCAATTTTAGCGTGCGCTATTTTTCGGAAATTGCGTGCGTACGCAAAGAGTCTTTGCTTTCCTCCAAGGAGGATTCGTGATGGGAAGTTGGCTAAAGCCAAGACGAGCACAGTTAATACATGGCGGCTCCCAGGACCAGGTCTACGGCCGCTTTGGCGGAGTCGTAAACGTGGCATTGGTGGCATCCTCGCGACAGCAATTTTCAAAACGGGACGACGTTGCACTCGGTTTGGCAACGATCGCCGGCAGCTTGACGCTTGCGACGCGCGAACATTTCACGGTGAAGGCAGCGAAGTGTTTTTATTTATTCAGCGAAAGTTAGTACACGAGACTTCTCTTGTCGAGGCGACGCACGCTGACACGACCGGTCGACTGCTCGCGTCGCATTCTCATGTTTTAAGGAAATCTAAAATGTTAGCCTGAACCAAAAAGAACTTTTTTTTTTTCAAGTTGAGGCCGGTTCACACTTTTGCAACCGAGTACGACCGACAGAGAGGAGAGTTCTAGAAACCTCTTGAGATTTGCTAGGACAAGAGAACACACTGGCACTTGGTGCCATCTTTGCGGTGACCCTGGAACTATATTTCACAAGAGCAAAGGGTTTGAAGGATTTCCGAGGTCAAATGTGCGTAATATCCATAAGAAAGGCGTGTTTATAACTCTGAAACAAAGTTTTCAAGCCAAGAAACGATATATAATGATCGAGAGAAATAGAAATTATGCCGAACTGAAAAGTTTACACTGCAACCCGATAGATGGCGCAAGTGTGTCCAGTCGTTATAAGAGGTTTCAGGGCACCGAGTTCTAAGAGGTCGCAAGAGTGTGAACGGGCTTTTACAGCATTTAGTGTGTGATATAAAAATTGTGACTGTATCTTGGTGGCGTTCAAAGCGCGAGATGGTTGGGCTTTAACGTCGAGGCGGAGAAACGCTATTCTAAAACGCTCTCGCGTGGCGTGCGCTAACCCAAGGGCTAAATTTAGCGCTAGCATGCGCTAAAATTGCGTACGTTATTTTAAAACTCTCTATTATGTCCTGATTGCATAACTGACCTGCACAGACCGTAGTAGGGAAGGTTTTGCGGCTTTTCTTAGGAGTCGGTAAGCATTTAATAAAACACCCTCTATATAAGGCGACGATGAAAAAAGAATTATATTAACCCTTTTTTACCCCCAATGATCCGCACTCATACAGAACACTTGCCAGGTCTTTGAGTCATTGTTGGGAAGCTTTAGTCAGTCTGTACTCGTTACCGAAGAGAAAATGTAACGAATTACGTTACTCGTGATTTCAAAATAAGAAGGGCGCCTTACCGATCTATATCACCTCAAAATAAAAGGAACGCGTTACGCCTTTCGTTACAAAGGTAACGCGCGTTACTTCTGCGTTACATTTGAATGACATTTATCCACCCGGCATCGAGGGCGACAGCGTTTTTCGACACTGGGAAAAATAGCGTGGATGTATTGTGGGATGAGCGCAAGAATTTATAGGACCTGGCGCTTAGACACAAATATATAAAGTATTTTTCTAGGTTTTGGTGAGATGTAAAAAGGAACGCAACTACAATCCCCGTTTCTGAAAATCAGTAAAGTACCCGTTACTAATTTGAAAAAGTAACGAGCGCGATATTATGTTACCAACAATGTAACGTGTTACCGGTACGCCGTTGCTGCTAAGGCGTTACCGCAAACACGGGCTTTAGAAGATTGTTTCCATAACTCCGATCACGATATTCGATGTTCCGCTTACGCATTTGCGAATCCATCGTATCGTTATCGGAGGCATCGAAACGATTTACTAAACGCTCTATAATTAAGTAGGGAGTTTTGTTAGCTTACGACGTGACATAGACAATAGCATCTCGTGCGTCCCTCGTGTACGTTGCGTTCACGTAATTGAAGAAGCTGCCCAAGGTTCCGCATAGGTGGATCATCGATCTATTGCGTGCAGGATCGGGTATGAGACGAGTGAACGTGTAGTTCTGGAAGAAAGTGACAGGCAGGTAAAGGGATCAGAGGTGGCAGTATATGTGGTGCTCGGAACGCGTCTTCGACCAGTGTGTTTATCCCTCATCCTAAAAAAGTGGTCCCTCGATTTCCGCTCGATAACGTCGAACTCGCGTCACGTTGTTGCCGGCCGCGACCCTAGTGGTGTCACAGCAGCGGTCGTGGATGTGGCAGACGCGTGTTCTGCTGCAGGTTGCTCTCTGGCTTGACAGCCCAGGGAAACGTCGGCGCCGAAGAGTTGGGACACCTCGACGAAGGCGACATCCACGTTCAATCGTACATTTTGCCGCCATTTCTAGCAGTAAGCCTCAGGATCGCGACATCTGGCAACATGACAGGCCGCTGTCGGTGACGTCATTTTTTGCCACTTTGGGAGCACTTTTCACGCGTGAGCGGGATGTAACGCTAAACAAACCAGTCGAAGACGTGTACTTGGCAGTTATTAGAGAGAAGCGAGGATGTTGTTCCGCTACGTACCGTGAGTTTTGTAATGCTCAGGACGATGAACTGTACTTTGGGCCTGGTCAGTTGGCTGTAATACTGGTTCACCTAAGAAAATTAGAAGTATTACACCAATATCGATAATAACCGCGGTGGCAATAACGTCACCGGCGGGCAACACCGGACCGAGCTAACGAGTTGGATTTTTGGACACTCCCGCTCCCTAGGACCTGCACCAATTCTTCGTGTATTTATTTGCTTTTTCACTTAAACGAGCACTCCCTAGCAATAAGATTTAAAAAAATTTCCTAGAGTGGTTATAATTTTCTGTGGCGATCGTGAACTAAAGACGCGTTTCGTAACCCAATGGTTTCTTCGTCAGTCCAGCTAATGGTATTTAGTTCTCTAGCTGGACTGACGAGGGACCTTACAGTTTCCGAAACGTTTCTTGATTCTGCGATCCCGATCTTAAGCCACATAAAACTACACTTTAAAATGAATTGTCACAAGAAGAAAAGCACATAGAAATACACAACACAAACATAAATTGAAAACGAACTGATATGACTAAATGCTTGTGGGTCTACCTTAATGCATCAAAAATGGGAGTTGATTTTTCCTACTAACGCTAGTTTGAATCGAGTTCTTCTGTGGTATAGAACATTCGCAATTGAACCCTGGCTGGAGGATTGTGACCGCACACTGCTCACCCCAGGTTACCGTAGTATGTACCTAAACTTTGTGCTACGTGTGTCATCTATTTTATAAGCCTAAGCATCGTGGTGCATTCCAAATTATTGTAAACAAAGTAATTGCAGCAGTACTCTGGACGCACCTGACAAAACCGCCTTACGTCGAATATGTTTTCGGGTTGATAAACCTCGGTGTATTTGGGTGGCTAGCGAAACTCATAATGCCGGTAAACCCCGTTCGAAACGAGCACGCCATAGTTGCTAGGCCAGTTCTCTCATTCCGCCATTGTTTGGGAACATTCTCGGAGCTCGTATTGGACACGAGGGATACGTCCACGTTCGGCTAGGACTGGGATCCAAGAACCCGCTACGTGCCCGATAAATTGCGACCACCAATGTTGCTCGACGGGGCTTTTAAAAAAGCGGCTAGCATGACGAAAACGCTGTTATTTTTTCCTATGGTCACGTGATCGCTTACACCAGCCAATGAGAGTGCTGCGTAAGTCTTCATTTTGGCTGTGTCGCACTCTGCTTATATTAATTTAGCGAATTAGATTAGGCTCACGCCTCGCCAGAACTGACGGAACTGCTTAATCGCCACTTTTTTTTTTTTGCCACGTTTATGAGTTTACCGTTTTTTTTGTTTTCTTTTCAAAATGACGGAAATGCATTATACCTTTAATGTTTTGTATTCAATTCTCTCATTCAAAAACTATTACAACCGTTTTTCGGCCTTCTGTTAAATTAACAGCACGTGCAGTCCAACGTGTTCCGAAGCATTAAAGGGCACAGTTAAGATATCTAGAAAACTATACAACGCAAATTCCTCATACCTTACTCATTATGATGCCAAAATACTGGATGAAATCATCCATTGTTTTGTTTGGGCCGTGAGAAGGGTCTGAAAATATTCTGACTTCTACGATAAATTTTTCCGGTACGTTGTTGAGCTTTCTTTCAGTCACTAAAAAGAGAAAAAAAAAGCATTAAGAAACCGAAACGTTCCAAATAATTTTCACGCCAATCTCTCATTACGCCATCCCGCTTGAAGTACTAAACCCGATGATGTTAAATTGTCTTAAGACCACAATTGATGTAATATATTAAAAATGCGTCTCAATAAAATATATATCTCAAGTAATGAGAAGCTCGCTCCATCATTTCAGTAGTAGCGGCTTCACCTACCCTATTGAAGGTTCTCCGCTAGAAGAAACAGCATCCTATAAGTTACTAGACATCCAAATAAACTTTGAGCTGAACTGACAAACACACGTGAATTATATTATTAACTACCCTACTCGCGTGTCTGTGTATTTACCACGTAACTTCCACGTGGCGCCTTCAACTTTAAAAACTTCTGGTCTAGAGAACTCTCTTCTGTTCTAATATTGAATATGCTTCTTCAGTGTGGGATCCAGCCTCGAATTTTCTAGTAATAACCTAGCATCAGTTAAAAACAGCGACGCGCTTTTTATTTCTCTGACCTCTCTCGCCTATCGAGCGTACGATCCATAAGGTCTAACTTAAACTTTCTCCACCTTGTCCTTTCCAGAAGAGTATCGGAACGAGCTCTCATTTTCTCAGAATACACCATTATAATTAATCACTAAAAAGTTAGCTTCTTTCCTACAGACGTCATGCTTCTCCCATACAGACCAACTTCATAAAGCAGATGTCGATTATTTGATCGCTAACGTGTTTTTTTTCTCATTTATTTGTACCAAAGACGAGCATTGAATGGAACTATCTGCCGACCTCAGTCACCATATGTAGTGACCGTAAAGGAAGGTCTTCAAAGTCGCCATTTAAGATCACTTTCTCTCCTATGCTCCGTTTCCCTTCAAGTCCGAGCGCAATCTATGCCACGATCCGGTGCAGCCAATCAGGCAGCAGCAAAAGGGCATCGTCACGGCACTCGTCGTCTTTGTGGATTGGCTATTGTCACGAATGACGAGGTGACAAACAAGGAATAACAGAGAAAACTTAAACTTTTAAGGGGGGCGAACTTGTGCCCCAAACAAAAAGGGAACGCAAGATAACAACAGAGCGTCGCGGGCGTCGAATTCGGCGTAGCAGCAGAGTCGAACGCTGGGACGAGACTGACTCCGCTCGCCTTGCGGGGTAGCCAATCCACAAAGACGACAAGCGCCTAGAGAGTGCAATTTTCACACTGCTTAATTGGCCCTAGTTCGAAACGCATATCGTCGGATGCGGTGGGACTTAGATTGAAACGGATTACGTGAACCTATATTCGTTGACGAACACACAGTCCATGCGCAGGCGGGGTGGTGGAAGTTTATCGTGATGACTTTAACCCGAGACTGGGGCGGAACAAGAGAAAATGTTTCAGTGGTAGCATAGGAACGGTGACAGACGCGTGTCTAGTTAGAGACCTGTCTTTCCCTGTTTCTTTTTCAGCAAACAATTAAAGTAGTGTTTTTTTTGTTTGTTTTTTTTGGTGGGGGGGCTTAAGTGAAGTCAATTTGCACAATGCTGCGCGATCATATCTTGAATTCCTCCTGGGATTGCGAGCTTCCGAGAAATGGAAACCGAGTGATTGGAAAGGTTAATTGATAATCAAATTGTGATCGACTTGTTTTCGGAATTAGACAAGAGGTAGTTACAGATGCGAACCTATTTAAAACCTTCCTGTTCTTGACTTTCTTTTTTGCCTCTGAAAACATTCATTTCCCTTGTGCCCGTCCCACGTTAAAGTATTCATGATAAACTATATTTGTATTTTTATAGAACGTTTTATCAATTTACATTCATTTGTTTTGACTGCGTCTCTCTCCCTTTTGTAATACCCTCAGGGTATTGAAAGCATTAAAATAAATGAATAAATATGTATAATATCGCTTGCCTTCAGGGGTGGACGGGCCAACATCCTTTGTTAGGAGGCTTAGATCTTGAGCTGCGTGAAAATGCATGACACCGAACGATAATTTAATATAATATTGTTTATACTGCATTAACCTAAAATTGTAATAAAATAAACAACTAATATTCTTGAATACTGCCTTGTTCGAATGGAAGGTTCAAGTGTTGCTTCTTGAGTTTAATTAAAACCCTTTCGGCCCTGGCGTTGTCAACTGACGCCACAAGTTAAAATTCATCCTGGCACTTTGAAAACAAAACAAGAAGTGTCAGTTTTTTTTTTCCAGCTAGTCTTTAGGAATGCCTACTGCCATCGACATCAGTACTTACGTGGTGGTGTCGAGCTGGCGGCAAGAAAGAAAAAGATTCTACATCGAAAGCATGGCGAGCCGCGCGCCAGGTGAGCTCGTCCTTTTAAATATTATAACTAAATAAATCGTAGAATACATGCGTTCCAATTTATATATCATGTTTTTCATGCTTACCTGAGCGTACGAGCGCTTGACCTGGTGTGATGTGGCGCGTAGCTTTTTCGTAGAGTATTTTTTTCATTATGTGCTATTTTGACGCCATCAGGGCTCAACGGCTGCAAATGGCGGCCATTGAGTTCACGGCGGGCGCGGCGTTTCAGGTTTGCTGTTTCTGTTTTCTCGCAGGTGCGCCTATACCGACGCCGTTATTCTACGCGCGCCAGCGGTTCCAAGTAGCCACAGACACACGTTTTGGGGACCTATATAATAAACATTTGTCCGATGTAGAGGGCGAATTCGATGGAGAAGGCGATGCTGTCGAGCTTCATGGGACCGACCCAGCGCAACCGGACAGTGAGAGCGATAGCTCTGATGACGAATGCGAACTCGGAACAGCCAGTGGACGGAGAAGCAGACCATTTCAGAAACCAGACCTAACATTTCAAGGAGACGTCCATGAAATGCCGGAATTGGAAGAGGAAATACCACCCCCGTATCAATATTTATACGGTATGTTCCAAACAGTGTGGTCCTGGAACTCGTGGATAAAACAAACCAATACTCGATGCTACAGGAAGGAAGCTCAGTGAAAACCTATCAAGAAATAAGGCGTCTTGTAGCACTCCACCTCACATTGGGTGTTCTGCGCTATCCGATGTTGAGACTCTACTGGAGGCCGAGCATGAAATCGGCTCTTGTAGTGTCAACAGGACTGTCACGGCGGCCGCTTTGAGAAGCTGCGGAACAATCTGCACATCATTGATGCCAACAACGCCAGCACGATTGACCGCCTTTGGAAGGTTAGGCCCCTAATGGTTCCTTTTCAGGGATGGCGCAATGAGCTCGATCTAGAGGAGCGCCTTTCCCTTGATAAGCAGATTGTGCCATTGAAGGCCCGTCTTGACACCAAACAATATGTCAGGGGAAAGCCAAACCCGTGGGGCGTGAAAATATTTATGCTTTGTGGCGAATCTGGCCTTATTATTACTTCCTTCCATACCACGGGTCCACAACTAGCTTAGCTGAGGACCTAAAGTGCAACTTTGGTATCACAGGTGCGATAGTTCTGCATCTGGCTCAGCGCATTCCATCTGGTTTTGGACATAAGTTGTGTTTTGATAACTATTTTACGTATGTGCCTTCCTTCGTGAAGTGCTGAAGAATAAAATATTTGCTGCCGGAACAGTAAGGTCCAACCGGTGTGAGAAATGTCCCTTGATGAGCGAAAAGGACCTCAACAAAAAAGGGCGTGGCTTATCTGATTGCCTCGTGAGTGGGGATGGACATGTGGTCGTGACGAGGTGGATAGATAACAGGAAGGTGACCTTGGCATCCAACTTTGTTGCTGTGGAGGACGAAGGTACCGCTCACCGGTGTAGCAAAGCAGACAACTGTTTTCTCGACATCAAACGACCAGCTGTAGTGGGAGCATAAAACCGCAGCATGGGCGGCGTCGACAAAGTGGATTTTTTGGTAGCTCTATTGCACGACCAACCGGTCGAGGAAGTGGACACTCAGGAAGATATTCCATTTCATGAACCTGGCAGTTGTGAACGCCTGGCTCGAGCACAGGAAAGACGCAGACAGGCAGCTTATCTTGTCCACTAAACAGCTCGACCTATTTGACTTTACCTTAGGTGTCATTGAGGCGCTTTCAGTAGCTGAGAGAAAACCTGTTGCACGGAAGAAAGGGAGGCCCTCGGATTCCCCTCTGCGGCCTTCGAAGCAACCTAGTTTCGCAGAAAACTGGCCAGTGCAAGATGTCAGGTTTGATCAAATGGGTCATTGGCCCGGTCACGACGATGCAAGATGGAGCGCTGCACTGGAAAACCTCGAATAATGTCTGATAAGTGCAAAGTTCACTTCTGTTCGTCCAAATCAAGAAACTGCTTCAAGGCGTTTCACATGCCGAACTAAGACAATTTCTGCGTCTTTAGCCTTCCTGCAAAGTTTGCAATTAAAGCACCCACAAATCCCATTTTACAACCCTTGAGCCCGGATGTCCTGTTTCGACGCCATAACAGTAATTCGGTTATTACATCGACTACAAGGCTTCAATTTGGAATGGGTATTATTCAACCCATAAAAAAAAAATAAAACACACTAAAAGAAATCTGCACTCAAAATGAAAAGGTCAGGGCCGAAAGGGCCAAAAAGGCCGAAAAGTCAATTCGCACAATGCTGCGCGATCATATCTTGAATTTCCTGTGAGATTCTGAGCTTCCGAGAAATGGGAACTGAGTGCCTAGAAAACCTAATTGGCAAATGAATCGTGGTCGAATTGATTTCAAAATAATGTGTGTAGTGAAATCGCGAACATTGTTGCTTGATTGTACTTTATAAAAGTGCTTAGGTTTGAGGATTGTCATAAAAATGCCGCCTGACAAAAAATTGTCCTGCATTGCGAAAGTAATACATTATATATTTTTTACCCTAATATTTTAAGCAGCGGTTTCATAGAGATGTTACAAAAACGCGCGTGCGAGCAATTTGTACCGCAGACGATAATCGAGTGGAAAATGATTCGTTGATTAAACCGTAGTATCAATCAAATTTGCAGCAAATATTCTTATTTTAGTTACTCTGCACTAAAATAATTACTCGGCGCTAAATATTTTTCCACTCATTTTAAAACAAGCTTTCTCTGATAGATTTTGTTTTTTACATTTGAGTCTTACCAGAGTCGGCGCCGTGTGGATTATCGATGTCCTCAAGATCTAATAATGAGTGAGCAACGAGATCATCTTCTGACCGGCCATTCGACGCGATTGGCTCGATTGAGAATTTGTTGTCGAGGATTCCCCTCTACAAAAAAATTGGGCGTAAGCAAAACATTAGAAAAAGACTTGTGTGCAACAATATATTTTAAGAAGCTTAGATATCGTTCTATAAAAATAGAAGTAAATCGTACCACTTGAACAGTTCCTTTTTCTTCATCAACAAACACAACAGAGGTGTGGTTTCGGTCTTGATACAAATTTCTTTCTAGGTCCTTGCCATCCATCTGCAAGGAATGTTTTAAATTATAAAATAAAATTTGTAATGACTCCGCAAACACTTGCTTGCCCCCAAAACTTATTCTCCATTTCATTTTGAATGCACCATATTTTTCATCCGCTTACAAATTTACCAAGAGCTTTCCTAGTTCCACGATCGGAATAGCAAATTAAACTATGACCATATAAAAGTATCATCATCATCATGTTTTTTTTTTTGTCTGCTTACGAACAGTGAAACTGATGTTGCACATAGAACACATCTTAAAATTCCGATGACCGCTCAATGCTTTTGTTATACAATATTGTATTTGGGTAAGGAAACTAGCTGAAATGGTGCGATTAGCAAAGGTAGTTGCAAATATAGGTAAATTAAAATGAAGAATTATATATTAAAAAAAAATTAGTATAAAACTCGCAGAAAATATTTTGCTTAGGGTACAGTATAAATTTTTAAATATTAGACAGGTAGAACCTAAACCTCTGAATGTCTGAGTTGGAGATGTCTATACTGGTTCTACTATGTTGTATAATATATTGCATCCAGTTAAGGGGCTAGATAAGTTTTTTTTTTTTTTTCAAACTGAGAAAATTGGATTAACCATCAATATTACTCGCGGCACCTAGAACCACTAGCTGACGAAGTTTGCATAGTTAATCAGTCTATATGCAAGCACGTATGCCAAGGAAACAAGATCTAGCTCAAGCCTTGGCAGTACTAAAGTAGAAAGACCACATCGTCGGGGAAGTCTCGCATTATAATAATACACTGTGGCAAACTTAATGCAAATGCAAATGCAAATGAATGAACCCTACTTGATCCATTGTAAAAAGTTCCACGAAGCCGCCGAAAGACAAAATCTAATGGGGTTCCGGGATTTGAACTCCGGGCCTCCAAATATTAGAAAGTTACTGAGCGTTATGAAAAACCGCAAAGTTTGTGTATTTTAGAAAAACCTGAAGCAAGTTTGGGGAGTGGAGGGGCGCTAATCTTACCACCTGAGGTACAGGCGGAAGCCTTGCGTTTCGAAAACGCAAATGATAAGAAAAGAAAACTCCGCGTGGCGGCGTCGTAGTTGGATACAATTTGGCGACACAGAGGCCCGATTCACACTTTGGAATTAAAAACAGCGCAAAAGACGAAGGACCAGACGAAGAAGAAACGCGATCACAGCGCTGTGTCCGTGATGCTTCTTCGTCTGGTCCTTCGTCTTTTGCGCTGTTTTCAATCCTGATGTATGGCGTAAACTCGCCCTGGCCTCAATTTTAGCCAGATGCAAAAAATCCTTATAGCTTTGAAGGGAAAGCGACTTTCTCGTTCAGGAAAACACGAACATCTGGCGTCCCGCAAGCTCCCGATTAAGACGAAGAGGGCTGTTGCCATAACAGCCAATCGGAGAGGTCGGCATGATCTAAGGACGTAGATTTTGGATCACGTGCCATTTCCGGCAGCGCTTGTATGGGTATCATGTCCGTGCGATGTAATGTCGACATAGTGAAATCGATTTAAATGGTCCCGAATACCCAGTGCTGCCGTGGAGCGGCATTGTCGATTGCTACGAACTGGATCGCTACGAAGTCAACGCAACTGCCGGCGTTGCTAAAAGAAGACGGCCCGCATGGCTGTGCAAAGCCGCGCACATGAAACCAAATCGCCGCGGCGTTCTTCGTGGCCTGGGGGATGCAGGAGGGAGACGACGTTCAGGGAGATACGATTGGACTACAAGATTGTCAGCGATAGCCACGTAAATAGCCGTTCACTTTGGGAGCGGAACCGCGCTGGCACCGAGATGATGGACTGCGTCTTGGTAGCCGCTTCGAGAACGACGTCTTATAACAGAATGAATGAATTGCTGGGCTACTAGACTATCGCAAATCGGTGCTGACGTGGTGCTCTGCAGACAAAGGTTTGGCCGGGATTGCGCAGCTCGCCAAAAGTGCTCTAACTCGACATATGTTGTTGCATATCGTCATGTCGGAATAAAAAGCACATGCCATATAAAGTGTACGTACCCTTGTCGCGTATCAATTCATAAGGCGTTTTTAGTTTAACTTTAAAACACGAAAAAGAAAAAATAGAACCGAGGGGTGTGGACTGCCACTTCCGACGAGAGCGTTCGCCACCGCTGATTCAGAAAACAAGGGGACGACAAGTGGAAGAAGCTGACCCTCTTACCCGAAAATAGAAGTCGGGGTTCAAACTATTTATACGGGAAGGGTTTGCAAAGGTCGCGCGGGCATATTACACTAGGCAAGCCAGTCGATCGCGGTTAGACGGTGTTGGCCAGGGACCGTCAAAGCAACGTTGCGTCGGAGTACATTGCTAGGCCTAGCATTCCCAGTCAGCCCTTGGCGATCGCTTGGTCGGCCATTAGGGAGTTTTCAGATCGTTTTCGCCGTCCCGCAACTCTCTCCGCAACCTGCTCGATGTGTACCTGGAACTCTACAGTCAAGGCAAACTGCACGCAGGCGCAAAGCGGCTTCTTTGTTGCGGAGGGCTTAGCGGAGGGGAAAATGAGGTCTACGAAAACACCCTATCGCCGCTGTAGCTTTTTCCGGGTATCAGCACAAGTTGCAGCGTTCATCTGCGCGGCGTTGTCTGGGGTACTTATTTGTCTTCTCTTTTTGTTTGAAGTTGGGACGCGCGCGGAGTGCACGTAGATACATAAAGGTCTGTTAGTCGATCGTCGCGACGACGAAAGCGAGAGATGTGGCCGCCCATGTGAATTTGATCTTAAAACTTGCGTAAGACACGTCTGGAGCGATCGTAGGATTACAACGTAACCTACGCAAAACTTACGGTAATATCGCTTCGTGAATACGGATTTGTTCTAAGGTTTTGTCATACGCACCTGTTGTGATCTAGGATCGTTTCGTGAATCTCTCCTCAGATGAAGGAAGCACGCGCACAAACTCTTTCTACAATTGAGTGATTTAGGGGTATTCGATGACGCTCAGTTGGCTTCCAACTGAAACCCTAAGGTTATTTGCAATAAATATAAAGCTCGGTAAACATCTAAATCTATGTATACAACTTATCATTATCCCCCCATATTTTGTCCTTCTGGCCATATAACTCACCTGCAAAGTCAGCTCTAGTGCAGCTTTCACGGCATTTACTTAGAAAATTTTGTAAAGCCTAGAAAAACACTTTGTTGAAACCAGCAGGACTGGAATGTACTCACGAATTTGTCGTGTCGATTTACACCGTCGTCTATTGAGAAGACAAAGTTGTCCGAGAAAACTTTGCTCTTTTCGAGGCTCAGCACGAGTCCGTGACGAATGTAGAGCGTCTTTTCGCCATTCTGATCTCTCGATTGAAGTATTCTCGGGTACACAATGTTCTCTGAGGGAAGCCCTGCAGCTGTAGAAGTTCATTGGTAGGTTAGGTATTAAGTCCGCACAGGCGTCAGATGTAATTCTACAACTCGAGGTTTCACGATACCCCTTTTTTACAAAGGTCCGCGCCGACGCCTGTCCGCCATTGCTTGATCACCTGCTCTGAGATCGTATTGTACACGAGGGATGCGTCAGCGTTCGGCGAGGACTCGGATCCAGTCACCCGATTCGCGTCCAATGAATGGATGGATGGATGTTAATGGCCATACCCTTTGTAACGGGCGTTAGCTTGCGCCACCTAGCCTAAGTGTAAAAATATCAACAAGCAATGACGACCACCAATGTTGCAAGACGGACTTTAGAAAAGGGTATACTGCTGACGATTATGCAGATCACGCACAGCGAAACACTACGATTTCTTCGCAATTTTATTCAGCCACCAACCTGTTGTGAAAGGGGAATTCCGGTGGTTTTCCGAGGTACCACCCAAACTAAAGCACGTTTCCTAAATATCCAGCCACCACTCTTCCCGGCATGCTTATTACTATCACTAAATCGAAAAGAGTTACTGAGAAAACGTCGAATGAAGAATTATTACAAAACCAACATTCATATTTTCCCGCGCTTGCCGGTGGGGTAACGTCACACATTGTATAAACTGCAAGTTGATCATGCAGTTATGGTGTACAAGAATACTGGGCAGTGTGTCGAGCGCGGGCGGAGGGAGGTCTCTTTCAGGGACAGGGTGGCCAGATGCGGCCGTGCGAATAAGCAAATAGTCGTCCCCAACCAAGCCCCAAAAAAGCGCCGTGACCTTCGTGAAGAAGCCCAAAACAAGCGGAAGTTCAATAAATGCACACATTCTTGAAAATAGTTTATTAATAATAAAATCAAAAAGAGAACTGGCTCAAATACGAAGTCAGCGTGCCATGCCACTATCCGCCGGATAGCGGCATGGCACGCTGAGTAACATGCCAGCTTGAGCTCCAGTTCTGGTATCGTTCTTGGAAGCGACGACTTGGTGAAGCCCATGTTAGTCAAACATGCACTGGAAAGTGGCCAAGAGTTCCTGGCGTGTTTTTCTGTTGCCATGTGCAGAAACGAAGTCGGCATGATTAGCGCGGATCTTGCACTTGCACGCTGCTCTTTTATCGTCTCCGGTGACTAATCCCGGCCAGTCCTTAAGCTGTGTCTCCTTTTCCACATCTTTACGATATTTTTTGCCATACTTCGAAGCCATTTTTTACAAAATACAATGGACACTAGAAACGACGCCGCGACTGCCGACTGGCAAGATGGGCAAGGCGCCAAAACATTTGTGAATGGACAGTAATTGTTTTGTACTTTGTGACGGACGGTAGCTTGCGCCAACTAACCGCGGCGCCAAACGGTCATGCTGTTTTTCGTGTTTTTGACGACAAACGCGCTGTCAATGAGCCATGACGAGCAATAAAATAACAATATTTGAGAAAAAAACTCGAATAAGCCCCAAAAACGCGACAAGCGACTGGAAAAATCTACCAGCGACTCAGTGAAAAAAGAAGCCCAAATCAGCTCATAATAAGCGGAACTGGCCACCCTGTTCAGGGATGACCAGATGGGCGGCCGCGAGGAGGTCCAACGTGTCGCAGGCGTGCTGTTGGAGTGCCAAGCTCAGGCAGCGGTAGCGCTTGGCTGTCCTGGCGTTCCGCACGGGTTCGATTGTTTGGTATTGTTTGGCTAACTCTTTATGGTACTCTTTATTTCTTCTGTTTCACATATTATTTATCCTACTTTCGTTGCCAAATGCTCTGCACGAGACGTGCTTCTTCGGGCAGGACGCCACAGTACACATCGCGACCCTGCTAGCGCGAACACGATATTGGTGCTTTTTCGCACTTGCTTCGAAAGAGTATTAGCGAAAAAGAAATTTTATTCCCTGCATTATGAAACTGAATGAGCTTTTTCCGTAGGAATCAGAACTTTGCTGGCATCTTTCGGTTTCTAAGAGAAAAACCGGCGATCGGCTATTCGCGCTAACAGTGTTGGGTTCTGCATAGGCCGAAAGATCTTCCGTCCCCTCCCCTCCCCTCCCCCCTGGGAAACGTTTCGGACGCTTGAGACATCCCAAACGTGTGTAATCCCATGGATAACGTAGGATAAGCATGCTGACGGTGTGATACCAAAGCAAATGTTTGCCTTTGTGACCCTATAATTTGCTGTCCTTGCAATTGTGATTAGTGATTTTCGTGGTTCAAGTGCACTGACCGTAATGAATTGTTTCAACATTTGGTAAAACAAAATGGGGCTTATAAAACGTATTATGTCGTGTACTTCCGTAGGCTGCACGTCCGCTAGAGGCGCCACTGTCGTCATTCGTAACTACTTCCAATGACCTTCGAAGGAATTTCCAGCACTAGCCTTTATCGTATTTGCTAATACTACGAAGGGTCTTTGAACAGTACTGAACGAATAGTTGGGGAAATTTATCCACTCACCAGCTCTCGTCACGTAGTACCTAAAGCTTGTGAGTGGATGCGTTTTTATTTATCCACTGAGCGCCAGCTATCAATATGTGTGGGCACCAGGACGCATAGATGAGATTACCGAGGTGCACCCAGAAGTTCTGGAGGTGATGGTACTTGCTTTTCCAAAGAGCTCTGGGGAGGGGTAATGGGAAGAAGGGGTCGGATCCCCCCCTCCCCCCTCCCCCCCCCCCCCCCCCCCCCCGGGCAGTCGGCGCCTATGGCGTTCTGCACTTCTACATTCCCCAGCGTGAGGTCATGATAAATGACTCAGTCTCTTGCGCTGAGCCACAAGACCTTTAAATTTTTTGCTACAAAAGAGGCCTCTTAGCACCTCCTTACTGAATAGACGGAGTGCTGGGCCGACCCTCATCATTTCAAAGCCGTTTAGAAGATGTACTCTGCTCTTCGGTGTGTAGAAGCCGGTGCCTATGAACCGATTGAGCAAATTCTTTACAAAATGCGGAAAGTAAAAAAAAAAGAAAAAAAAAGTAGAGCACGATTGTTATCACCTGGGTGGGGAAACTTGCATTTGATGCTTGTGGCAGAGCCTGCATTACATGACGCAGAGTCTCCCGGCCACTCTTCTTAATGTTGGCGGACCCCGTTTCACGCCGACCGAACTCGGTAAGGGCACGAACAAGAGAACAGGCTTCGTTGCAGAACCGGTAGCCACTGTTGCACCCCGGCACAAAACACGTCCTGTCTCTTTTGTCTCGCTGTCCCCCCCGTCATAATACGCGTTGTCTACATGCCACTGAACGGCACCGTTTGCAGTCAAGTTCACTCAGTCATTAAATGACACTACTGCAAAACAAAGCGAAGACGCTAACCACGCAAACACAAAGAGTACGACAGCACGACAATCCGAGCGGGAAGGAGCACGCCTGTTACCCGCAGCGCCTCCTGCCGTCCTTACGTGCCGTCATCGATGCGCCGACCTCCTCCCTCCCTTGATTCTCGGCGTGGACGACATACTGCCCAGTTCTAACACATCATCAGGCAGTCTAAAAAGTTACACTAGTGTGAGCGTTTTAATTTTTTTTTGTTTTTGTTTTGTTTTGCTCGCGTGAATTTACACAGCATTCATTTCACACCATAAAAATTATTCTAATCCGTCGCAAACACACCGTACTAAATATATTAAACAATTGACGCCAGGATTTTAAGTGTGCCTGGCAGAGCATCTCAGTCTCTTAGACCAAATTTAAAGCATCAACAACTGCGCAAAGAAAAAAGTCATTGTGACGTGTAATTTTGGTTACTAGTTCAGAAGTGGCTGGTAATATGTTAAGCCACATTTGAGGAAGGTCAGTTTCTACCCAACTTTCGCCAGAGAGTTTACCGTGTTCAGACATAATCTAAGTAATTCATTGGGAACCAAGTTTTCTGGTTCAGAGCGTTTATTATCTAAAACTAAGGGCACTGTCACACTTACCTGCAAGGACAGCTGACAGCATCAGTGCTACAACGAAACCAACGTTCTCTGGCATTCTGCCTGATCGCAGCCTTCCAGTGCGCGTTGCTTTCGGCAATCTCCAGGATTTTTATAGTCGTCCCTAGTCGTCCTCGTAATCAACGCGGTTTTCCAGAGTTTAGAACACGACAACGGTATGACCTTTCGGAAGTGTTCAGAAAAAATGTGCGTTCCCTCTTTGAACTTTTTTGTTCATTGTCACGCGACGCCTCCTGCCGCTCTTGAAGGGTTAAATTACTAGAGCTAATTAATCATGTCGCGTACGTCATGTACTTGACTAAAACCTGCCCCGACAACATGCTCGGTCACTTGGACTTAAAAGGTGTTCTAAATTGATAAGCCCCGCCGCATCAAAACCAAAAAGGTTGTCTCCAAAAGCCAACGGGAGAGTCGAGGGAACACGTCCAATAACCACGCTGTAAAAGCCGAATAAATATAACAATAAAACGACTTTTGCGGTTAAAGGTTTCGTACCGAAAGTTCAAAATAACTTAAGAAAAGCTTCAACTGGACAGAAGCGAAGAGAAAAACTGGTAGAAACATAACCTTTAAGCTTGAGGTATAATAATCCAGCGACAGGCGCAAAGCATTTCGTACAGTTAATGCAAAAACGAAACGTGTCTCGAAAGAAATAATAAATTAAAGATTTCTTATTTTTTTGTTCGTTGACATCTGCGATTAATAAGTCACAGTTGTCAACGAAGTCAGAACGCCCACACATGATCGTGGCTTTGGACAAACCTCTCTCAAGCCGTGAGAGAGAGCCTTAACCGCAGTTTCGCAAAATATTTTCCCGACTACTTGACCTCCCCATTTTTAAAGCTGCTTAATTCGTCTTCCGCTGTCCGCTTTTTCTCCAGTTATATCTGAGTGGCGGGAGTTCCTGATTGATGACCGTGCCCGAAGACAAGACGTCGCCAGCAGCAGAGATGATCATCATCTTTAGGTGACAATACTGCAGTGAAATAGGCGTTAACTATACTGCTTGCCATGCTCAATCCAAATTCGCCTTCAAGATAATCGGAAAATTCAGTCTGGCATCATCACATTTTATGTTTTTCCGGCGAGTTTTTTTTTTTTTACCATAAAATTTGTTGTGCTCTTATGAAGTGCACAAGGAGTGCCGAAACTGGGCGACTATTCAATATGTTCAAACCATGGCATCTACATGTATTCATGTGTGTGCTGTGTTTGTGTGTTAGAACTTTATTGTCAAAGGGACGCCCCGTGCGGCGTTGAGAAGAGGGTCTGATGGTCTATGTGTTCATACAAAATTAAAAGTTATTTCAGTTTATTTGACGAACTAAGGCATCTGATGATGCGCAATATGAGAAGGAAAGAAACCAAAACAAGGTATCTGCTCGAAACGTAAGTGAATCTGCCAAAAAAAAAACAAAATACAAGATGTATAAAAATAACGTCCTATAATAAAATATAGTAAAGCATATATATCACAGGCGCAACGTCGGTGGTGCAATGCCCGGATCAGTAGATTATCACCCGCGTGTCGAATCGAAAGCAGTTTTCGTCTTTCCATCCGGGCAAATCCTTTAATCCTGGACCTTTGCGCCGCCATTACTAATCAGACAACTGCAGACGCACGGCAGGTGTACCCGGCTGTGCGTCGGATCGGACATGCACGCGAACTCTTGGAGTACGACAGCGACAGCACTGTATTCCCTCGCGGAAAATATGGCGCTCTTTGTGCATCAATCTTTTAAGCGAGCGAGAACGTTTCCGACGAGTCGATAAAAGTTCAAAAACTCGATATTAGCGAGTCATTCCCATATATAAATATGGTAACAGAAGCGAAGGCACTAACTACATGCCTATCTCTTTCCAGGTACGTAGCGAGGTGGGTGGCCAGGGGGGCTCGGGCCCCCTCCAAAGTCCTCAGTTTTGCTGGGATCTCCTCTCTCCCCTCTCCTATTTATGGTGTTTTGCCATGGGCAGCCCCCTCCCCCCCCCCCCCCCCCCCCCCCCCCCGCCCTTGCCCCGAAACGATATCCTGGTTACGTGCTCGTCTCTTTCAGTTGAACTTGCTGCAAAAATGGTTAAGCCCATTTCACCGTTCGTAGAACAAATTTATATCAACCCTACTACACGGCTTCGGACGACAATTATCGACTGTGACCCTTCGTCCCTCCAAGTGGTCGATCAGTGAACGCAACTCAGGATCCTCTCGCTGGAGCGCTGCCATACCGTGAATTCTCACCGCGCCAAGAAAGTGGTCGTCGTCGTCGCCGTCGTCTTTGGTACATCCGGTAGCTGACTCGACAGGGCTCTGGACAGGCAGTCGGCGTCGCTGTGTTTTTGGCCTGACTTGTAGACCACGGTCGCGTCGTACTCTTGCAGTCATAGGCTCCACCGAGCGAGGCGTCCCAATGGGTCCTTCAGGCTCGCTAACCAACACAGCGCGTGGTGGTCGGTGACCACCCGAAATGGACTCCCGTACAAGTACGGGAGGAATTTCGTGATGGCCCAGACGACGGCCATACATTCCTTCTCGGTTGTTGAGTAATTGCGTTCCGCGTTCGACAGCGTCCGGCTAGCGTATGCGATCACGCGCTCCGCACCGTCTCGTCGTTGGACCAGTACCGCTCCGAGTCCTGTATTCCGTGTGAACCTCCGTTTCGGCTGATTGGTCGAAGTGGCCGAGAATCGGTGGTGACTGAAGCCGTCGCTTTAGTTCGTCGAATGCCTGTTGTTGTTCTCCACCCCATTCGAAGTTCACGGCGTCTTTCGTAAGGTGCGTTAGCGGCGCAGAAAGTTTGGCGAAATCCTGAACGAATCGCCGGTAGTATGCGCAAAGTCCAAGGAATCTTCGGACGGCCTTTTTGTCGGTGGGCGGTGGAAAGGCCGCTACGGCGCGAGTTTTCTCGGGGTCAGGACTTACACCTTCGTTGCTCACAACGTGGCCCAGGAACTTCAGTTCGCCGTAGGCAAACGGACACTTCGTCGGCTTGAGGGTGTGTCCTGCGGTCCTGATTGCGTCAAAAACGGCCCGAAGGCGTCGCAAATGCTCGTCGAATTTGGCCGAGAATACCACGACGTCGTCGAGGTAAACGAGACAGCTCTGCCACTTGAGGCCTGCCAGGACGGTGTCCATGACGCGTTGGAACGTCGCCGGCGCCGTGCACAATCCGAAGGGCATCACCTTGAACTCATACAGTCCGTTGGGCGTGACGAAGGCAGTCTTCTCTCGGTCCTGTTCGTCGACTTCGATCTGCCAGTAGCCACTCTTAAGGTCCATCGATGAAAAGTATCGAGAGTGGCACAGCCGGTCCAACCTGTCGTCGATGCGGGGGAGCGGATACACGTCTTTCTTCGTGACCGCGTTGAGCTGCCGGTAGTCAACGCAGAATCGAAGCGTTCCGTCCTTCTTCACCAGTACGACTGGAGAGGCCCACGGGCTGCTCGAAGGCTGAATGATGTCGTCGTTGAGCATCTCGTGTACTTGTTCCTGAATGGCCTCTTGTTCCTTTGGGGAGACCCGGTACGGCGGCCGATGCACAGGGAGCGCCTCCTCGTTGGTAATGATGCGGTGTTTAGCAACGGTTCTCTGGCGCACCCTCGACGTCGTTGCAAAGCAGTCGCCGAACTCGGCGAGGAGGTCTCCGAGCTGTCGTCGTTCCGTGGCGCTGAGATTGGGGTTAACGTCGAGCTGTGGCGGCGGTGTACTGTACGGCTGACATGACGAGGGCTCGTCGGAGATCACGGCGATTTCGGCGTCGGCCCGGAGTTCCTCGACGTGTGCTACAGCAGTACCTTTTGTGAGGTGCTGCGCCTCCGGTCGAAAGTTCGTCATGAGGACCACAGAACGTCCATCCTGCAGCCCTGCTACGCCTTTTGCGACGCCTATTCCTCTTCCCAGAAGCAGTTGGACATTGCCTTCCAGAAGGACTTTCCAGCTGGCAACTGTATCGGTCACGACGGGCACAAGAACACTCGGCCGTGGCGGCAGGTTCATATGGTCCGCAATGACTTGGACGGCGGCTGGCGACGTTTTGGATCCCTCCGGAGGTAGCACGGGCTTTCGCAGCGTCAACCTGTTTGCTCCACGGTCGATCACCGCACCGTACTCACGGAGAAAGTCCATGCCAAGGATGACGTCTCTCGGACAGTCTTTGAGGACGACGAATTTCACGGGGCAGGTCTCTCCGTGGATGTCCACGCGCGCAGTACACCTTCCCACTGGTGTGATGAGATGTCTGCCGGCGGTTCGTGTTTTCGGGCCATCCCACCGCATCATCACCTTCCGAAGGCGGCGACAGGGCTTCCCACTTAAAACGGAATAGTCTGCTCCGGTGTCGACGAGTGCCTTTGCGTCCAGTCGATGGTAACGTCGAGGTTATTCGACACCGTCACAGAAGCGTCGTTCTGATGCGTCTCGTCGCTAGTGGGGGAGCCCTGCTTTCAGCTGGTCCCATGACATAATCGAGGTTTCACGATTCTCGAACCAGTGTCACGCCGTTCCCTCGAGGGAAAAATAAACGTTTCGGAGACGCTGTTCGGGAGTTCATTAGTTGTGCAGCGCCACCCGTTCGTATTGCTGCAACCAGTCTTCGACGTCTTCGTAGATCTCGCCATGGGAGGACGTCGGCGTGCGAGGGGCGACGGACAGATAAACGACGGGGGGTGCTGCTGTGGTCTGCGCCGTCGATGAAGCCATCGTCGTTAGAGCTTGACTTGTCTTCTCCGGGAGTGGTCCGAGTTCAGGAGCTTGCCCTTAAAGACGGCGGCTGGCACGATGTTCCGAGTCTTCAACGGAGGGTCGTCGCGGAATGGGGCTTGCTGAACGAGTTCTCGTAGGAGTACGTCGCACGGGTTTCATACCCCGCAACTCCATCAGAAATGTTACGACTGAAGGTGACGAAAAGCCGAACAGTGAACTGAAAATAAAGGTTTAATGGGCGAACTTGTGCCAACCAAAAATAAGTAACGAAAGAGCGTCGAGGCAGCAGAAAAGCAGGCAGCGGTTCGGCGGCACTACAGAGCGTAGCGAGACTGACTCGA